TGTACTCAGCAAGCGCAGTACATCCCCGAACTCAGATTTGAAAAACAATCAGTGGATGGTTGTTTGCTGACTGGTCAGCAGACCGCCTACCGGCCAGCCCTACTGGTCGGCTGCAATACGGTCGGCGGCCGGGGTCGGCGGTCAGGGTCGGCTGTCGGCAGGCATGCAACCCTGCCTAACACTGAAAATTCCTGAGTGTTGTGTGGCGATGGCAGAGGAGACCATCAGGCATGCAATATCAACTCCTTTTCGTGACGGCAAACACAGTTGCTTACTATCTTCTTTGTTGATCAAGAGCAACATGCCCCTAGTGGGCATTTGCTTGGGTGGTGATCATAGCACTGATCCTACTCTGGACAGTGATGGCCCGAGCCCTTGGAAATCTGCCCAGCCGCTACTCATTCAGATTCCGCGGAGCCTGGCTCCCAGGACTTGTGCCATGCCAGTATGTGGCTTGCCGGGGTCGACTCAATTGGTCTGTGTACACCATAATCTTTGTCGCAAGCACCACGACGGTATGGTATCTGATAGTCTCTGCCTAGAAAACCGCCCTCTTCCGCCTGTGCTCATTCACGCCCTGCTTTGGCATTCCTGCATCCTATGCCTCTGTGTTGGACAGAGACACATTTAGACAGTGTAGACGCGGTCACAGGCAGATGAGCACACAAAAATCCACACACGTGCACAGGCACACACAAAAATCCACCGGTTGACGAGGAAAAAAGAACAAGAAGAATGCTGAAAGATGAGCTTGGTTTTCAAACAGGTCTCAAGGTTGACCTACCGACAGCCTATCGACTATGGTCGCAGACAGCAGGCTCTGCTTCAACAGCCAGGATGCACTCTTGGTTGCCTGCCAGAATCCTTCCCCCGTTATCGATGCAGTGATAGTCGCAAACTTGCTGATGAACTCGATGATCTGGAACATGCACTCCAAGCAACAGGCGACCATCTCAGTGAGATAGCTCCCTCGCTTCTCTGGGTCCCGCTTCAATCTGTAAAGCAATGTCGATCATGGACATTCAACAGAAAAACAGAGAAGCTAACCAGCTTAAGTCAACAGCACGACCACACCCCTCCATATATCGATCCCGTGTTTCCACGCAGGACTGGTATCATGACATTCACAGTAATACTCTCACACCCCTCCATACAAGATCTGGCTTTCAAGTTTCACCTTTTCATCTCTCTTTGTTATCGTAGGTCAGCTGCTCTGCAGGGCATGTCAAATGCTGTACTGGCCCTGCAACGCCTACCTCCTTGTCATGGAGCATACTTAGATCCGCTTGAAGCTATTTCCCAATAATGCGATTCGAGCGGTCTTGACATCCATCTGCACGACCTTTTGACTTTTTGTAATGAAGCCTGCAGATTCTCAGTGGACTGTACATTGGGACGAGGGCGAAGCTTGGGGCTTGCCTCGGTCGGGTCGCGTCTTAGGTTAGATTCGTAATTTTGTTTGGCTGAGGGCTAACCGAGTGACCTGCCTGTAAGGAAAATTCGTGAGGGTCATACTTGTAAATTCGGGAAATACAGGCCCGTACTAACGGAATTTCCTACAGCTACCCTAACTGCAAATAGCAGACCCAGGCTACCTCTAGGACAGACAGGCCCTAAGGGCCTAAGCTGATAGACGGTCCTATAGCCTATAGCCGGGTTGGGAGAGGCCCGAGGGGCCGAAACAGAAACGGTACCGGTCGGGCAGTCAGTCCGGTCTAGGTCGAGTCTAGGCTAGAGTAGACTATAGATAGGATGGGCACATCGGTTCAGGGCTTCTGGCAGTTGGTACCGAGTACATCCCTGCTGTGCAACGCGTGAACGGGAAGTGGTGATGGCTCAGCGTTGAGGGAGACAGACATAGTCAGACCTTCGGAGCGCCGGCCATAGCTGGGACCTGCGTTGTACTCTGTCAGCATGCGGGGCTGTACAGAGGTTTGGGCTATCAGAGGTCTGCTGGAGGCGAGGGAAGTTGGTGCCCTGCTGGACCCTCCTCCGGACTGGGGTTCCCGGGTAGTGGCGCTGCAGCCAGAGCTGCAGCTTCTTCCTCAGAGGTCATCTTTTCAGGAGTGGTAGCGCTGCTGCAGACTTCCACCCGGGAAGTCTTTCGACACTTCGTCATCATCAGATACTGTGGCACTGGTCTTCTTCTTCATCCTCTGAGTGGCGCTTGGCCTCAGAGGCCTGTTTCAGGGTGGCGCTTCCCTTTGGAGGCTATATCTGGGTGGCGCTTGATGTGTCAGGGACTCGAGGGTAGGGATAGCGGCTCACCAGGGTTGGGGAGTGAAGCGCTGCTCATCTCTGAGCAGCGCATCATAGTTCTGAAGTTGTTCTGACAATTCGAGACTCTTGAGTATAATAAACAGTGTTGATTCTGGGTTCAGACTATCATTGCTTAGTTGTTTCTTGGATGTGATCTACTCGGCTTTCCTTTATGACTGGTTGTGAGGATTGAGTGGAGTGAATTGCACTTTCAGTGTACCCTGTCATATCGCATGGTCAAGTCTTCCGCTGTGTTTCTCTCTCCCTGTGCGGTGTGATACTCCTATCCTCTCCCCTTCCTTCTGTGTATGTATGGGCATACCTGGGAGTCTATGTGAGTGAGTGTTGGTCTTCAGACAACAGAACCAGAATCATAACACTTTTGGCCTCCAGGGATTTCTTTTTGCTATACTTGGGGTACTGCTGCACCTTCCTTATCCCCCTTTTGGTAAGTTGCTACGTATTTTGTGCTGCCCAATTTCGGAAGAAATGGGGTGCCCAGGGAAACAAGGAAATTAACCACCAGTTGAGAAGCCTCAGGCAAGCAAAAAAAATGCAAAGGTGTACAAGAAGCATGCATCGGAAAGGTTTGCGCTTCCAGACCCAAAGGGGGTATGTGCGAGGGACCGATAGCGAAGAAGTACCGCGAGGGAAGGATGAAAAGAACTTTGAAAAGAGAGTTAAAGAGTGCTTGAAATTGCCGAGCAAGAAGCGGATGGAGGGAAGTCGTGCATTCCCGTCTGGGCAGGGGTGGATGGCGACTGTGTTGTCGCCCCCCTGGTTGGACCTGGGGTGCCTGCCAGCATGGGCTGCTGTGACCGCCATTGCAGTGGGGAGCGATCGAGGAGGCGGATGAGCAGTGAGGCATGGGGTGCGGTGGGGTGCAGGAGGTGTGCAGAATTTTCAAGTGCCCCCAAGTTTGGAAGAGTGTTTCGAGCATGTTTGTTTTTCATGCTGAGTCATCCCGATTACGGCTGCCGCCCTGGAGCACTTGGGCTATTGCAAAGGGGTTCAGTGTGTGAAACTGTTTGTGTCATCAGCTGCAGCACCTCCTCTGAACATCAGGAAGTTGGTGCCGCCGACTGAAGTAGAGGTTCCATCCTGCCAGGAGAATGTATGAGGCCCCTGTTGCAGACCAACCAAACCTTGGCGTAAACACAGAAGCCTCATCAAATCCAAAACGTCGCAGCAAAGGAGAAAACACACTGATACTCTTGTTCGCTTGCTAATCAGGATTTTTACAGGCTTACATCACATATGCATTTATATTTATTTTTAATATTTTCACAGAATGTACAATGTACTCCTTGGATAGAAACATGCAGAGCGCTGCTTGTGATTATGCCCGGGGCACCCAAACAACACTGCCTGAGAGAAAGCATCTCCTAGCAGTGTAGTTAGGCTAGCCTCCCATTCCATTGTACGGGAAAACCTCCACTTCAACTTCTAGTTTCACATTTGAGCTGCTCCATCTTTTTCTTTTTCTTTCTTCTTTTTTTTTTCTTTTTTTTGGTTCCATCCTTTTCTGATTGCATACTAAATGCAAACGGTTCGTGTGAACAAAAAGAAATTGCAAAAGAGAGAAAAACAAAGAGCACACCAGTGAAGTGCGCGCTCTGCAAGCGCCTTGCGCAGGTGACCCAAATTCAACTACACTTGAAAGGATCGTACAAAGTCCTCCAGCTTGTCATAGACCGGCGAATTTTCACAAAAATAATGAAAAATTACAAGCGATTAATATTATTGATTGTGTTTTCGAGTCCGCTATAATATAATATAAAGCCGGAAATCTACGATCAATTTCTGACAAGTTGCTACAGTGGTAATGCAATTGTTATTATCATCGAAAATGAATGAAACTTACGAAAAAAGCTTCAAAAAAATAAATAGACAGTTGACGGGAAGCCTGATGAATGGAGCCCCAACCCAAGCGTTTGTGAATAAGATTAACATATTAGTAAAAAGAAATGTGATATGACAGTTTCGCTCAGTTGTCGTGATAAGACCGGTCAGAACAACCTGGACAGAGTTTGGGACGGAGCTACTGACCTGTCAATGATCTCTTTCACAGTCTGTTGTGTGCCATCAAGAAGCACATGCGCACCATTCCAGGAAGGCGCCAAACCACAGAAAAACATTCGAAGACAATAACAACATATAAAACGGAAATTGTTTAGTCATGACGGACAGAATGCTGCCAAAATTTGCAGAATCGATGCAAGATAGAAAAAGTTGAATTACTGTGAAGTACATCAGCAGATGTTATAATCATACGTAAATGAGTTTTGGCTGGTACAACCACTCGATTATCTACTTCTAGTAAACGTAAGTGACCCAATTCTAGATCATCCTATGGAATCATATAACTATCAAAAGTAAGTGATTGTTCATCAGAAGTATTATAAGCTGAATACTCACAAGTCCAATATCATTGATGTCCAATTACTTTGCCATATGTGGGATGATGAAACAAACAACTGCACCAGTGAAACAAAACTTACGCACACCACTCAAAGGATGTCGTAACCTAGCCACCAATATTCACCACACAATAAACAGCGTAGCACAGAGATGGAAAGAACTACCGTGGGATAAATTCACATTGAAGAAAATGGGGAGTGCAGGGTGCTGATCCAAGAATCAAACCCCCAAACGACTTATTCAGTCGATAGCAGTGTTGCACACCCCGACGGTCGGCGGTCCTTGACTGGTCGGCTGCCGAGCCACCGACCAGTCGGCTGCTCAGCACCTACCAGTCGGGAGTCGCCGTCACCCCGCAAAATATATATATAAATATATATATCGTCACAAATAGAACTGCCCGGTAAACCGTAGGCAGAGAGAGAGAAGAGGACAACAAACGAGGGGCTGTGACAAACTGTTTCGTCGGAGTTTCACCGATTCATCAGGAGGCTGAAATCAGGTCGAGCGGCAGTGGTCGGGGTCGTCACTACGCGGCCATGCTGTGCCTCTAGTGCCAGCGGCGTGTCTGGAGTGTATTTTTTGGCTGTGACAGACCTTTCTTTGTTTCGTGGRTGTTTTGCTKGCTTGTGATGGGGTGTGAACCGACAGTCTGTAGAGTTTTCCATCTGGTGTGGGTGAGTGATAGTCTGCTTTGACTTTTGCCACAGGTACCTTGAGGGCAGTGGCTGGTGCCCGCGTCAGGGTATCAGTTGTCGGGCAGTCGTTGATGCTTAACCACAGCCGGGGTTAAGGTGGATTATCACTTACAGTGTAATCAGTTAGGGGATTCCACAGACTGTCGAGGGTTCAGCCTCCTGATGAGTCAGTGAAACTTCGACGAAACAGTTTGCCACAGCCCCTCGTTTGTTGTCCTCCTCTCCCTCTCTGCCTACGGTTTACCGGGCAGCTCTGTTTGACTATATATATATAGTCAAACAGAACTGCCCGGTAAACCGTAGGCAGAGAGGGAGAGGAGGACAAGAAACAAGGGTCTGTGACAAACTGTTTCGTCCGAGTTTCACCGACTCATCAGAGTCTGAAACCTAATATATATATTTGGGGTCCGGAACCCCAAAAAACACCACCACCTTCTGGCTGTGGAGTGCTCAGCCCGGCTATGGCTGGTGCTCTCCTCCTCCTTCCTCACTCCCACCGCAGCAGCTTCCCAGTGGACACAGCATTCAGCTACTGCTCCAGTTGCATTGCCAGAATGTGTGAGTCTCAGCGGCCAGTCTCCTCTCTTTTGTGCTGGATGGCGAGGCTGGAGAGGCCGTGCCCAGGAGGCTGTGCCCTTCCAGAAGTGCAAGCAGGCCAAGCATCTGCAACTCACTCGTGGGCTGGGCATACCGGTGAGTTACAGATGCTGCACGCGTGCTTGCAACTACCCGGGGTCCGCTTCTGCTCACATTGGCATTGTCTTAGGGCCAGCCGCATTTTTGTCAGGCCCTCCTTCACTTAAGGGCGCGCAGGGCCTTTTATGGCTAGCGGAAGTCCTGTATCCTCGCAGATGCTCCACCATAGCCAGATGCCATACCGAGGTAGAAAGGACTTCTAGAGCATCAAAAGAGGGCTCTATATAAGGCTGTCCGTTAGGGGGAGCAATCGGGGACATTGATTCTGTCTCAATCGTTCATTGTTGTTGTTTATTTTAATTAATAAGATAATGAAGGAGATGATGAGGGTGAGATGATGGAGGTGCATTGTGAGGGAGATGACATTGGTTCCAGCCTGTGTTTACTATCTTCTTCTTCTTTCCTTCAGTCTTCTTCTTCCTTTGTCTCATTCTTCTCTCGGTTCTCCTTTCAGTCGATTGCAATTGCATGGCATTGTATCTTCTCGAGTATGGTTGTTATCGTGTCGCCATAAGGCCCAACGAACACATACTAATGGACTTGCGGCCACGAAGTGGGAGACTGGAGCTTGAGTGGGAAACCCAAACAAAAACGCAAAACAGATGAAAGAAAACATGCACAGACCCAGAGTTGTCGTTTTTTGTGGGTCATCGTTATGCATCTTATCATACTTGCAAAGTCAAATAACATCAAAAACGCCATGCAAACAAATAGTTTGAATGCTAATCAATCGCAATCTATGAAACAAAATTACGTACGTTCAATGGGAGAAACGAGTGTATCCCAAGTGATCAAAAGAAAGGCACTAGAAAACAACACTCCATCACTTGTTTTTCAAAGTGATCGCTTCGCGCGTTTTCATTAACCCAAGATTTATGTTTTACGCGAGCAACGCAGGCTTTTAGAGTCCCTGCTTTTCCACTTATTCACATGGCTTCAGACCGGGACGTAGTGCTCACACGGCCCTTAATGTTATAATGGTACCTTTCATGGTGCGCAATGGTATATTGAAGGATCCCTGGAGGCCGAAGGCCCTGGAGCCGTAAATCATGGAACTCTGTATAAGATCATCCGGCGAACAATCCGAGATAAACGGATTCTCAAACTAATCTATTCTTCTTCGGTCATCCTTTCAGTTGCGTTGCAATTGCATGGCATTGTATCTTCTTGAGTTTTGCACTACGAGCTGACCAGGATCATAGCAACAACACATACCTTTCTCGGCCTTTTGGCTAAGTAAGATCAAAGTGTAGTATCTGTTCTGATCAGTTTAATATCTGATCCGTGGTCCATCGGACCACATAAAAAAAAAAAAAAAAAAGGATCATAGCAACATGGCATCACAGCAAGACCTTACATGCTGGTTGAGGTCCTCAAGCCACCCTAACCTAATCAGAGTTAAATTCAGTTAATTATTAGGGCAATTAATCTCGGATTAGGGGAGGAAGAGGTTGGTCTAGGGTGGTGAGTGACTTTGCTGATGCCCTAACCCTAATTCCGAGAGGTTTTAGGGCCACATATACATCGGATCGGGAATAGGTTGGGTGTTTTGGGCAGGGGAGTTACTTACCTTCTGCCCTAACCCTACTCTGAGAAATGTGATGTCAATTATACATCGGATTAGGGATGGCCTCGAGGATTAGGGTTGGTGAGATGAAGAGGGAAGTGAATGTTGAGGGTGAAGGAGCGGAAGGAAGCTGCTGTATGTGGAGGACATCCAAGGAGACAAAAGGTTTGACCAAGGAGACTTTCTTCTTCTACGAAAAGGGAAGAGTCTGTTGTTGCTACAAGAGCACAAGAGGAGGCAACTTCTCCAAGGACAATACGTTGACATTCTACGACCTTCTCCTCGGCACAGCTACAGACACTGTTACACTTGGCTGCAGGCGTCATTGTCACTGCCACAATCACTACAATGCCATGGTTTGTGCGTCGGTATGTGGAGGACTGTCCCTCCTCTCCGGACTGCACGCACCTTCCATATCTGGGCAAATATGTCCATTTTCCGGCCATGGGCGTTTCGTCAATGCATGCTTGTCTGTGATGCGGCTGATGCCCTTTCTTCCTTCATGTTGCCACTCATCAGGAGTTTGGCAGGCATGCTTAATGCCAGCCGAGAATGCTCAGCTAGTTCTTCCATGTCGTCACCCACCTCATTCTTGCATTGCATGCCCTCTCCGTTATCAAGGACAGACCGCTTCCTAAGCCTTTTCTTATCCTTTCCTATGCTTTCATGTTTCCACAGTCCTTACTTTCCCTCTGTCTTCTTTTACTTTGTCTTCCTTCCACCCTTTTTTCTTCTCTTTATCCCCTCTCCCTACCTTTACTATGCCTCTTTATCACAATGTGCAAGTAGGCCAATGATCACAAGGCGATGTGGGCAGCTCACGCTCAACTCCACATCAACGTGGCACGACTTGCACGTGAGAGGCACAGTAAAGGGGGAGCTGAAAGAAGAAATAAAAGAGAAACCGTAAAAAAAAAGCCAAAGAAAGGAAAGAAAGAAAGAGCTGCACAGGAAAAAGGCAAAAGAAGTTTAAAGACCGGTTTCTGTGTGCTTCATGTTGTCTGCTTTTTAATTTTTTTCTTTTGTTTCGCAGGCTTTAGAGCATACTCACACTAGGACATTTTCGACTGAGCTCTGGATGTAATTGCGGTTAGATACACACAGGTCAGGCTGCATTTTTTGTCAGATGCATCAAGTAAAGTCCTAGTGCGAGTTTCGCTCAGCTGACGGATATGTGACTCCACATATCCGCACAGCGGAGAACTGATCAGTGAACTGCAGCCAGAAAGGGAGAAACGGTCCAGAAACGGGCGACTGTGACAGACTGTTTCGTCAGAGTTCCACCAACTCGTCAGGAGGCTGACATGTTTAGGAAGGGCCAATCTCAAAGTTCGCACTGGACTTTTATAGCTGAAGCCTGAAAGGTATATGCTATTATGTATCTAATCTAACCTCTGATGAAAAGCACAAAATTTCTAAACAGAGGTGGTGTTATAACTTACGCAAGTACTATACTTTTAGTGGTGGATTCTCAGTTTCCTGTGGACCTTTCGAGTTCTTACATTAATGGAGTAGCCGTGGTGTCTACAATATGCACCAGCAGACAAACAGCATGGATGATGGCACATTTGGGGACGGATGCGAGCAGATTATCAAAATGATCTTACAATGAGGATATAAATTATAATCAGATAACGACAGAAGACATCATCCACCCCACATATAACGACAAAAGACATCATCCGCCCAATCCCACTAAGTTATTGTTGCAGGTCACAATTGCTACTGTACCTGGAGAAGAGCGAGGATGAAGCTAGCCAGACAAAGGGTTCCTAGAGAAGGCCCCAAAGCATGCCTATACAAAGAACACAGAGTCACACACACACACGCGCGCGCACACACACACACACACACACACACACACACACACACACACACACACACACACACACAGAGAGTACATGCAACAAAACCCAGTTTAAGTCAGCACCATCAGCGGCAAGCACGCCGTCAAGTTGCAAGAAAAAGGTTGAGAGGAAGTGGAGACAAGTGAAGAGAAGTGGAAAGAACTGGGGGGAGGTGGAGAGAAGTGGAGGGAAAAAAGTGTCTAGCCTATCATAGTGTTTTGTGATGCTTATGGGCGTTCACCCGCAAAAGTATGTAAAGTCTCCAGGATGTACAAGGAGCAAAGATTCCGAACCCCTGACAAACAACAAGAGGTTGACAAAGTGGTCGATTTCCAAAAGCCAAAAAAATGATTTCTCATCATGGGAAACATGCATCGCTTTTTTTTTCCCCCCCTCCTGTTTTTTCTTGAGAATTTGGGTGGATGTCCTTCAGGACATGCGTTAAACCACCACTACCTTTCCAAGCTGTAGTCTCCTTTGGGAAAACGGGAAAATGACCTCAGCCGAAAAGTTCAGCGGTCCGGGGTAGGGTCGGTCAGGAAAGGAAGAGAAAAAAGAAAAGATAGGGACCCCGCGGGCCCCTGTGAGAGGGAGGGAAAAAAAAAAAAAAAAAAAAAAAAAAAAAAAAAAAAAACAAACAAACAGGAGCTTTGAATCCCACAACGTCGGGGAAGGCCATGACGGAGGTGGAACTCACACCAGAGCTTTGAGGAATGTATCTCGCCAAAAAATATGTGGAACGTGATTGCTGATATTTTCATTTGTGTTTTTGTTGTTTTTGTTTCCTTTTCGTGCCCGACCAGCCAGTCAGCGCGGATTCCATGCCAGGCAGCTAACTGCCTCACTCACGTCATACTCACACTATGACTGTAGTGTCCTGTATCGGACCCCGATCACAGCATAAGGGGAAGTTCTTTTTTTTTTTTTTTTTCCCCGCTCCCATTCGTTTTCATGGTGGAAGGTCCTCACGGGCATGGATGTAACACCAGTGCGTTGAGGTATGTATCTGGCCAGCCAGTATGTGTGGAACATGATTGCTTATGTTTTTGTTTATGTTTATGTTTTTGTTTTGGTTTTTGTTTTCGTTTTTCTTGATTTCTTGTCCTTTTCGTGCCCTGCCAGTGAGGCAGGGCATATTCCACAAGGGGAACCAGCACTGTAGCGTCCTGTATCGGACTGCAATCACAGCATAAGGGGATTTTTTTTTTTTTGTTCTTCATTGGTTTTTTATGGGACAGATGCCCTAAACGAGGGCACAGTCTCAACAGCACCTCAGAGAATGTATCTGATAGCTATCACGGCATTAGGGAAGTTCATTTTTTTTTCCTTCTCTTTTCTCTTTTCCGTTCTTTTTCAGATGTAACTGCCGTGAGTACCAGAAAAGAAATAACAATGGGACTCGGGCTCGGCAAAACTCGGTGCGCAGTGAAATTCAGGGTCAACAAAGACAGGATCGGAGGTAGTGGTAGTTTAAAAGGATTGGAACGATACAGAGATGATTAACATGGCCCCTGGCAAGGATGACACACATAAATCGAGAAATAGTCCAAATTATATTAAATAAAAAAGGTGGGGGGGTTTCTCTCTGTGTTGCATTCTTGAAGAAGATTGGGAATATGTTTTTCACCAATCGAGTGCCCTTTGAAGCTTGAACTCCAAAGCGATCAGAATAATTTTGACAATATTACGGTATTACCCATGGCTACAATCCGGACATCAGGACCGCCGTCCAGACGGTCTGGATTCAGTCCGGACTCCAGACGTCCGGTCTGGAAGGTCCGGATCTGCCAAATTTCGAGAGAAAAAAAAAAAAAAACGGTCCAGGACCCTTCCCCATTGAGGAGCCAAGCCCCCAAAATTGTTTTGGGGGTTTTTCAGGCCCATTTATGCTTTTTTGGGGGGTCTGGACATGCTCTCTCTCTATAATAATTTATCAGACGACCCCAATTTTTTAATTATTAATAAATTAATAATTCATTACCTTTTATTAGTTTTTAAAGTCTTTTAGTTTTGACTTTTAACTCTAGTTTGGTTAGGAATTCTGACATGATTCTGAGGCAAAAGTGGTTTGCATTGTTATTCTAAATGTCCGGAAACTACCGGACACGGGTCCGGTTCCATGTCCGGAAATGTCCGTGTCTGGGTCCGGGGTAGCCATGGTATTACCCATCTTTACTGGATTTAGGGTATACTCGCATCTTTACTGGATTTAGGGTATTGTCCGGAAAGGACTTTCTTACTCATTTTTATGGAGGCAAAATTGCGGCCAGGTTCACCCAGGCGTCGCCGAAAATGTGGTCACATACATTTAAGATAGGGCTAGTGTGAGTACGCCCTTACTGATTCGTCAAATTTACCAAATCTCTTTGGATACCAGGCCAGGTGCTCGGGCTGCCTCTGGCTGCCCGGATGGCCTGGCTGTGTGTTACATCTTCGACGCCAAACGGGTCCTACCGGTCCCGACCTAGGGCCAGAGGGACACAGTAGGGCCTAAAGGCCCGGACTTGGGGTACAGCAGGCCGTAAAGGCCACAGTTTTGGACCAGACCCGATGGGCAGGCCCAAACGACATTACCGTTTGGGCCTGGCGGCGCTTTTGAGGCTGCCGCCCGCCG